TTTCTCAAGGCCCGTAGTTGGTGTGAAACCTGCATTTAATTTCATCAAATTCAACCAGAAATAACGCAAAAACGATTAGTGTTTCAAAAAATTACACATGACCTTTTTTAAAGAACTAATTTGTCGATTTGTCTCTGTTTCCACGAGGAAACGTCTGAAGAAAAAATTTTTGTCATCGATTTTGTAGTTTTGAATTTATTTTTTGCAATTTTCGAAGAAAAAAAAAACAGCAATACTCAAAAATGAGACTAGCGCTATACGTCTTAACGTTTCTTATTACGTATGTGGAGAACATTTAAAGAAAACATTTGACGCGTATTTGGAGAAGTTTGTTGTAGAAAATTTCAGTCGTAAAATATGCAAAAAATAGTTTTTTCTTCAAACAATTGTACATGGCCTGTTTTGAAGAGTTAATTTTGAACAGTAGATTTTGTTTGAGGCAAACATGTCTATCTTCAATTTTGTAGTTTTTAATTTTTATTTTAATTAAAAAAGAGCAATATCCCAAAATACGACGCATCATATGTTTTTATCAGTAGGTGAAAGTGAAGAAAATTTAAAGATAAGAATTGAAGCGGTTTTTGAGAAAGATTTTGTTTGTAAATTTCATCGCAAAATGGGCAAAAAACGACCCATTTTTCAAAAAAAATAAAATAAAAAATTGTATATGACCTTTTTCGAAAAGCTAATTTTGTACAACAGACTTCGTCTGAGACAAAAATCTCTATCTCCGATTTTGAAATCTTCCAAAATTAAAATATCAGTTTCAAATTCCAGGGTCCGCGACATCAGCTAGAACGATTGGGGGGCTCCAATATCAATTTTGGAGAAAATCGGCTCAACAGTTCACGCGCTAGTGTTGTGCACGGACAGACATTTTGCCGTCGCCGTCGATCATTTTTCAGTATCAAGGACCCACAAAACAGAGAAGAGGTGGTTGTTTTTTTAAATTTTTTAAAAAAATTTATTTACACATTTAGCAACTGGATTTATCAACTTTTTCCTTACCAGGCCCCGACAATAAGAGTTTGTTTTTTTTGTCGAAAATTCGCCATTGTCCGGCGCACGATTACAATACTTTCTTTTCTTATGTTAGTAAGTGCGAGAAAGTAAAAACATGCATAATGACAAAAATGTACAAGTACAAAAATGAAAATAACAAAAGTTAAAATAAGGGATGAGTGTGATTATTTAAATATTTGTTTTCATATAAACTAACATAGCCATTTAAAACATACATATTTAATTCATATGTGACATCTAAACTCCTTCACAACACATAAAATGAGCTTTTGCTAATCTAATAAAACCATAATAACCCACATAAAAAATGTTGATGTAACATGAATTCTATAATCTATTTAATCGATTGTTGTCAGTATAAATGCTATAGTAGCAAAGGAATGTTCAAAGCAGTCACAATACCACTGTAATTATGATTAATGAACAAGTCTGGCTGGCAATCCTAGATCTCCTGAAGGATGACATCCTGAAGATCCTGTGTAGAACTGTTTCAAGTTTGCAAATGTAAATCAGAAAGGTCTCCCAATCATGATGTACAGAGTTTTCAAAACATGAAAAGAATTAATGCCAACGTAAATCCTTCAAATGAAACCCAGTAGTTGGTTTGATTTATTTTAAGTGAACTCAATGTGTTCCCCAGAAAATGACATTTTTGAATCAAAAATAACTCAAGATCACGAATATATTTAAGACACACACTATGTTAATAGAGTTAATTGCATCATTAAACAGTATACTTGACTTTGATCTTGTGAAAGTAACACACAGTTATCAGTATTTAAATGAAGATAATTCCTCACATAAAGAAATTTTTCACATAAAGAATAATAATAATAATAATAATTATTATTATTATAATTATAATTATTATTATTAGTAGTATTGAGTCACATATACAATTACAATCGTGTATGACGAGTCAATATGATGTCTAGCGTGGAGAGAGTGAAGTTACATTACTATTCAGAAGCAAACAAAGGGCCATCTCAGTATTTGTTCAAGGGACCAGAGAAATTGAACAAAACCTGATCAAGATGGGGTCATTGGCAATAGAATTGGTAGTAGAATTATAACCCTAATACTATAGTGCTCTGAAGCTTGCCTGTCTCCTTCATGAATAACATTGCAGTTATATCAATAGATATGTAAATAAAATTGAGATGGATATTAATACTCAAAGTAAGAAGTAAGTTTCTTTCCCATCTGATGAGCACATTCTCTTTCTCAGAAAAAGGCTTCCAAATCCCCACTTCACTTTGTTAGACTGACAAAGGAAAAGACACCAAAAGTTAACTATCAAATTCAAGTAGACAAAGATAGTAAGTATTTTTTCATTAATTTTTCAAATGGGTTTATGATTTTAAGTGGGGTCTAAACAACAAGGCTCTAGAAGAAAAGATGAGGGCTTTTCACGATTTTGCTCCTTCAGGCACAACAGTTTATCTCTGGTTTGTAGTTTCAATAAGAAATAAAAGAGCTAAGAAACATGAAGATTGCATAAGGCAGAATAAAACACCACACACATGGAACGACCAGGTGAAGCAAGACCAACATTAGTAACATACAAGTTGACCTTCAATACACCAAAAGTACTTAAAAACTTACATAAATAGTTTTGGAGGAAATTTTGTTTTAGTTGGGTGCTCTATCTCGCAAAAAACAGCATGTCATTCAGTGGGAAAGGAAACGACCTAATTCAATAATGAGAATTCTTAGGGGATCCATGACATTGTCACATGGAACAAAATCTACTTTCATCAATGTGATTCTAAACGAAAGAAGCAATTATCATTCCAAATAATAATTCAGCATGTTGAAGTCAAGAAATGCTCGAGAGCAGTTTGGAAAAGGACTTCAGTTTCTTTTCTGCAAACAGTCATATTACTAAGCAGAAAATTCACTGCTGAATAGCTTCCCTCCGCATTTTCACAAAGTTGTATGTTGTACGTCAATACCCTGTTGCAAAGATTTTTGCATTTCTTCCAGCCAACTCTGCTTGGAAAACTTTCCCCCTGCTTGGAAAACACTGCATCACACCAAGAAATGTTTCCATCCGCTAGTCAAATGGGCTGAAGTACCAAGTGTTAATGCCTCACAAGTCGGATTAGTAAATGCAGTTCGAGGTTACAGATAGTTTTCACAAGTAATTTAGTAAAAAAATTCTAAAAGGATGTTGTGTCTCAAAAGAATATTAAAAGAATTGGAACAAATTATGATAAAAAGTATGTGACAATATTTTTAAAAAAGCCTTGGATGTGAAAAGAAAACTGTCAGTCCATAATCACCAAATATCAAGGAGCTTGTGCTCTTTGCTTTTATGTCATATTCAAATAAACATGATTTAATTGAATACAGGTGTTGTGGTGCGTTAGCATTGGCATTTTTCATGAAATAATTATAAACGTTGTCATTGCCAACAGTAGGTTGTTGACTACTATTGGCAATGACAACGTTTATAATTATTTCATAATTCAATTGAAGTATAACTCATATACACATTCCTTTAAAAAGGATATTTGATGAGCACGCTTCTTGAAGAAGCATAAATAAACCGATGTGCTTCTTTCAAGAACAAAACAAATCCAAAATTCCATATTTTGAGATATTTCACCCAGCTATTCCCCACAACTGGCACCATTATTTAAAAATAAGGAGGGTAATGGCGCAATTCTGGTTTCACATTTGGATTCAGCGAGTGGACATATATAGAGAAAGAGGTGTCAAAGTCTTTGGGATTGACAACAACCCTTCAAAGCCAAAAAACACAAAGTCACAGTGGTTTCTCGCAGTTAAAAAAAAAAAAAACTTGAGGGTAGTGGCATAACTCTTGCTGCAGATTAAGATTCAGTGTGCTGACATACATAAAGAAACGTGTAGTCTTTGAGTCCGACCACTTTCTTTCTTTCTCTCTCACTTTCACTGAAGTTCATAAATAATATTCGATATACACACAAGTTTTTATTGTAATTTATTTTTGTTATTTTGTAGCAGTGAATATGGCTGCAACACAACTGAAAAAGCTTGATGGAAAAATAAACATGTCAAAACACCTCAGATCTATTTCTACGCTATGAAGTTTTTGGTTCCTCCTGAAAAATCTCGAATTTGAACTAGATTTGTTCTTGTTAGAAACACAATTGCTTTCATGCCCACCTTCTCTAACTGGGGTCAAATGTCAAAATAACAAGGACTATCACAACCAGAGGTGTATCTACGGTATGGCAGACATGGCATGTACCAAGGGCCCTGTCACAAGAGACACTATTTAGAGTAAACCTGCTAAAACAAATAACAACAAACCTAACTTGAAGTATCCTGACAGATGCTCCTCTCACCACACCCCCCAGCAAAAGTTGGTCAATGTTCTTGAAATTAATGTGAATCATTTCTAATTTCTTCCAAGTCCCCTCATTTAGGTTGGCATGCTCGATTGTCAAAATAAATTGATCACACGATTGAACTGCATATACCTCTCAAAAGCAGGCCACTTTGAATTTCTTTAACTCCTAAAAGTTAAGAAAAAGTTGATATTGTTTGATTTGAGCCTGAAATAGTTGTTAACATTTAAAAATATTTACCAGGCCTAAATTAACTCTTCTATTCACTATATTTCTTACTCACTGCAAAAGTCAGTGCAGAGAGATTTGTAGCTCAGTGTTCCTGAAGGTTTTTTTTTAATTACCGAAAAACATGCCAAAGAAGCACCCACCACTCATCTGAATTTCTGTACTCATCTTCTTAGTGACCAAAAGTGTTCTAAATGTCAAGCACACAAAAAAATGGTTTTATGCAGTAAAGAGCACACAGCTTACATATTTGAGATAAGAGCAATAATTGAAACAACTTTGACCAAAACACTAAATACAAATTATAATGTTTGCTGATATGAAGTTTGGATATCCTCTGAACTTAGAGAGCTGAAAACCTGTAATAGCCCAAACGATTCTATACAGGATTATACATTAACCATACTTTACCTTAATTTGACATTCTGCTCTTTTGGCTGCTTGTCTCTGTGGCCGACCAGGAGTCCGCCTGGTTTCGGATGCGTCTTTCTGTACTTCAGTTTTCTCATGCACCTTTTCTGCTATTTCATTGGATTTACTTGCTCTTCTACCTTTTGGTGTTTCACCTTTCCCTTTTGTCTCCTTACCTTTTCATACAAAGAAAAAACACATACTCAATTAAATTTGTATTTCTCTAAAGAATTTCTGTTCTCTCGCCTTAAAACTTACCTAACATCACCCTTGGAACAGTATCTGGAATTATACAAATTTCCTCATCATCATTCCTATCAGTAGCCTTTGCATTTTTAAGAGATGCAGAATCTCCAACATTTTTGGATTTTACATCACCCTTAATTACACCACTTTTAGTTTTTGAAGGAAGTCTTTGTTTCTCATTTTCTTTCTCTGTTTCTGCCCCATCAATGATCTCCACAATTTCTGCATCACCTGAATCTAGACGTTTGGTACTCTTCTTTTGTGATTCCTTTGAAATGCCAGCATTTTTTACAGGTAACATAGCAGTTGATTCCTCCAAAACAGTTTCACACATTAAAGAAATATCAACACCTACAGGTTCTTCCACATCATCTGCAGTTTTGGCATCTTCATCAACACTTATATCATCTTTATCTGTGTCATCAACTTCCATTGGCTGCTCACCAGTTTCCTGATCCATAGTCAAATCATCTTTATCTTTTTCATTAGATGCAGCATTGGAATTTCCATCTTCCTCATTCGGGATTGAATTAGATACTTTATTATCTGCGCTGGAAATCGTATCAAGATCTTTAACCTTTTCATTTGTCTTTGAAACAGAATCCTTTTCTTTTGAAACAGAAATTGAACCTTTATCTCCTTCATTTACAACACTAATGACCTCCAGATCATCTTCTGCAACATCAATAATATCTTTGTCCTCAATATCTGCAACACCACCCACATCTTTTCTTTTATCTCCAATAACAATGGCATCTCTGTTTTTTTCTACACCACTTTTATCTGCATTTTCAATGGCATCTCTTTCTTCATCTGCACCACCAATAGTATCTTTATCCCCTTCATCTGCAACACCAATGGGATCTTTATCCGCTTCATCTGTAACACCAATGGGGTCCTTTTCTTCTTCATTCACAACACACATGGGATTATTATCATCTTCATCTGCCACACCAACGGGATCTTTAACCTCTTCATCTGCAACACCAATGGGATCTTTATCCTCTTCATTTGTAACACCAATGGGGTCTTTTTCCTCTTCACCTGTAACATCAATGGGATCATTATCATCTTCATCCACAACACCAATGGGATCTTTATCCTCTTCATCTGCAGCATCAATGGGACCTTTATCCTCACCTGCAACAACATTAGGATCTTTATCCTCTTCATCTGCAATATCAATGGGATCTTTATCCACTTCAGCTGCAACACCCATGGGATCTTTATCCTCACCAGCAACACTAAAGGGATATTTATCCTCTTCGTCTGCAACATTGGGATCTTTATCCTCTTCATCTACAACTTCAATGGAATCTTTATCCTCTTCATCTGTAACATCAACGGGATCCTTATCCTCATCTGCAATACTAATGGGATCTTTATCCTCATCTGCAAAAATTGGATTTTTATCTTCATCTGCAACACCAATGAGATTTTTATCCTCTTTATCAGCACCACCAATAGGATCTTTATCCTCACCTGCAACACCAAAGGAATCTTTATCCTCTTCATCTGCAACATGAATAGGATCTTTATTCTCTTCATCTGCAACAACAATGGGACCTTTATCTGCAACACCACTGAGATCTTTATCCTCTTCATCTGCTACACCAATGGGATCTTTATCCTCACCGGCAACACCAAAGGGATCTTTAACCTCTTCATCTGCAACACCAAGGGGATCTTTATCCTCTTCATCTGCAACGCCAAGGGGATCTTTATCCTCTTCATCTGCAACACCAATGGGATCTTTATCAGCAATGCCAATAGGATCTTTATCCTCATCACCTGTATCACCAATAATACCTTCCTCTCCAACTGCATCATGATTTTTACCTTCGCCTACTAGATCAATTACACCATCTCCTTCATTTGAGTCAGAAATGGCCTCTTTATCATTCAAAATTGCAATAGGATCTTTATCATTAGCTGCATCTTCATTTCTATCTAATGACTGTTGAGAATTTTCATCCTTATCTGAATCAATCTGAACAAACTCTACGCTACGCTGCATATCACAAGAATTTTCTCCACCATCTTTTTCTATTTCTTTAATCATATCAGCATCTGAATCTTGTTTAGCAAATTCTTGACTCTTATCTCTATCACCAGAATCTTCCACATTGTCACTTTTAGCATCAACATTATCACTCATTTCAACATCGTCTTGCTCCTCTTCCTCTAAGACCTTTGAATCTATTTTGGGGGCAATTTGAGATTCACCTTCACAAGTTTTCTGAACAATGAAACACTCTGTATCTTCTGATGACAAATTTTCCTCCTTATCGAAATGTATTAATTCTGATTCTGTATCTTTTTCTGATGTCTCAGTGTCAATGAGATCACAATTTGCATTATCATCTACAGACGCAACCTGGAAATTATTAGAGGCATCCTTTATAACTTCATCATCTTCATTAATAGAACTTGTATTATGTTCACTTACATCAGCATCACTTAAAAGTGAAATTGTGGGTGTTGCAGTATCTTTCACTAAATTAGAATCTACTCTTTGACTGTCATTATCACTCATTTCACAATCTACATTATTTTCAGATGAATTTTTCAGATCATTGTTCTCAATTCTTTCACTACTTTGAACATCAGTTTCCTCCAAAACATTTTCAGTCAAACCGTCATCTGATGACCTTAAATCACTTTCACAAATTGTTGCAGTTGTTTGCATAGCTTTCTCACTTTCATCACACTGATTCACTTTTTCAATTTCACCTCTTGAGTCACCACACTCACTAGGTTCATTACAGATTTCAAGCTCACTTTGCGAGAGAACACTAATATTTGCTTCCACCTCTGAAGATGGAATAAAACTTCCAGATGCACTTTCTTTATCATTTTGTTTTTGTTCATTTTTTGCAACAACATTAAAAGAAGTTCCTAAGCAATTGTCCTCTCGATTTAAGTTTGTTAAAACTTTTTTTGAAGAACTTACTGTTGGTAAGTTACTGTCTAGACATATCGTATCATCCCCCCTATTATCACCTTCCCCCAGTTGTTCCTGGTCACATTTTGTCACTTCTTTTGAAGGAAAACTTTCAGATTGCACTTCAGCACTATGAATACCTTCGATGTCTTTCTTGAAATCTACATTCTCTCCTAAAACTTGTTCACTCTTACATGTGTCTTTATAATCAATAATTTGTTTAGTATCAGTAGTTACATTCGATACAAACTTCTCACAATTTTGCGATTTTTCAGAATTTTCTGAAACTTGTAATTTTAGATTCTCTTCTGAATCATTGACTGTGTTCAAACCTGAGAAATCACTATATTTATCTGTAATTACTGTAGATTCAACACCACCTGCATTTTTACCATTATTGTCTCTATTGCTACTATTTTCTACAGGAGTTATTACATTATCTGTACCACAAGATGATCCATGAACACTATTCTCCTCTGCTTCGTTAACATGTTTATCAATTGATTTCTGATTTCCTATTTCCTCAACCTGCTCCATTATCCTCTCTGTCAGTGTTTAGATGAATTTATTCATTTAACATGGGATGAATTGTCGTCTTCCAAATACATCCTGGAGAATATTAGAAATCTAACTGGTACAACCTGAAACAGAACCAGTTACATTACACCAACACAATGTTAACGAGTAATGTACAGTAATATGTCCTTTACAAATACAATCTAACAGTTACAAATATTACCCCTTAAAATGCAGTGTATCACGTAGTTATATACAACGCTAAACATAATTTATGAAAACCATTAGAACAAATAAAGCATTCAGCTCATTTCAAAGTTTTCTTCATATAAACCAAAAATAAAACATGTTAAGACAAGAAAATTTACGGTTTTTTTTTATTAACACGACAACATAACCTTCATTAAGTAGTACCTGTTTATTTTCTACACATTCCAGTTAAACACGCCAGAAGTAATTCGAATAACATAGAACTCATAGGAAGATATGGCGGTATCAGAACATTATAAGTATTGCCAACTTTACATACGTTCGTACAGCCACCATTACATTCTGTACACTGTATTTGTAAAACGATTTACCTTTAGCGCGCCCTACCACTTGTCTCTCTCTCTGAATTGCAATCACCGATTGGTTGAAAATATCGCCCATCCCACATTGCAATACAAATATCCAATGAGAATGACTCTATAGCTTGGTGCATTGCAAGTATGCATAGAACGAAGTATAAGAACCTTTGTCCCATAACCAATCGGTAAAGGAATATTCTCCATGAGAGTGTAAAAAAGCATCGGAGATTTTCAGTTACGGTGATGGTTGTGAGTGAGTGAGCATTTTTAATACTGTGTGACAGTATTTGGTATTCTCAATGCCCAATATTAACTATTTATTGCCACTAAGTAAAAAGAAATGGTATTCTTGACCTGCTCTGCTTCATCTTTGAAATGTGTCATTAAAAAGTTAAGTACAAAATACTCCAGATGTAATTTTCATGGTCTCCCGTAACGCAAGTCTCACGACGTATAATTTCGTAGCCTTATTTCGTCCGTAAATGTAAAGTGCGACTCATAAGTTGGTATCGATTCTTTTGGGCTAAAAGAAATGAAGCATGATTGTATGCAGGGCCCTATAACTCCCATATAATGTGGTGGAAACCATTATGGTGGCGCGCTCTGCTGCATCACCTTCTTTACAGGAACTAAAACAGGAACTGCTGCCAACGATACTTTTAACGTGCGTGACTGCTGCGTGAGTTCGCGGGTCGCAAGCAGGATCATAATGTTACAAAAGATAACGTCTACGTTCGCGCTTTCTTCAGAGGTTTCTCACAAGTAGACATTATGAATAATTGTACATTTAGAATACACTTTTCGTATTTCTCACAAATTAGCCAATTTGTATGTGGGAATGTTGGCGAGCCTAACCTGCAGCTGCACCCGGCGACACTAGCGCTTCCTATAGTAGCAACCTCAAGCTTTGTCCCCAATTTTGATAGAGAGTTGCCGGGCCCTGATTGTACGTCCACACGCGATGTTCGTGAAAATCATGTTCGGCTAGTTGTAATCACAAAATTTCCATCAATTCACTTAATTCGTAATAAGGAAAGTAATTTTTGAGTTATTTTTACGATATTAACATTGTGCACGATGACGGAATTAGATTTCATTTACACCTTTGCACATTTCAGGCGCAAATTTGATTAGGGATCCTGTGGAAATGGTATTGTATATTCTCAAAAGCAAACATTACTGGAAATAATTTTAAAAAGGAAATTACATAAATATTGTTCTCTGTCAATATTGATAATTAAAATTCAAAAATAAAATTTGTAAATAGCGCCAAGTTGTAACAAAGTTTGCTTTGCGCGTTACATTTAAAGCATTGAAATATAAAGAAGGGCGCCCTTAAACAACGTTTCCACTACATAACATTGAACTTCTATTAAATGTATAGTCCTTCATGGTAAATGTATATTTGTCACGCCTCTTCTATTTAACATGTTGGACCTAACATTTTAAACAAGTTGGATTTACCTCTGCAGGTTGTTGGTTTACCTATGCAGGAATGGAAAACATTTTCAATCGTTTGTTCGGGTGTTGTCGGCCAAATTTTAGGCAAGTTCGCGAGTTTACGTATACAGTAGAAACCCGCAAATCCGAAATTTCAGATAATCCAAACAACTTTCGGGGTGTAGAAAAAATAAACAAAATAAATCAAATGCTTATTTGTAGTGTAAAGAGAGTATTTTATAATTACTGTAAAACTGAACAACTAATTATTTAAACAAGTTGTCGAAATGAAACGTTTATTGTACTAGCAATTACTGTGTATATCACATATTTATGTAGAAGTAATTTTCACTTAGAGGAACTTACAAAATCGGTCATCTTCTTTCGTCGGTAGGAACTGAATCTTCTTGATGATGCGTGATGATGCGATCACTACGCCACGTAACTTACCATTTTATCACATCGCACACTCCGTTGCATTGCGGCTGAGCTGTCAAGTGTACATTGCGGTGAACAGTGGTGCAGTGGGTGAACAGATGTCTGAAGTCTGCAGTGGAAGCTGAGCTGTGAAGTGTGCATCGCGGTAAACAGTGGTAGTAGTAGGGGAGCAACAGTCAGCAGTTTGTATTCTGCAATGGAAGCAGAGCTGTGAAGTGTGCATCACAGTAAACAGCAGTGCAGTGGACCCTGGTCTGCGCAGTGAATTGTGGTATGCGCAGGGAGTTGTGGTCAGCGCAGTGGACCGTGGACAGTGCATCGAATAGTACAATAGTGCAAATAAATAATCAGATTGCAGTGAACAGTGTAAATAAATAATCAGAAGAAGTGAACTGTGTAAATAAATAATCAAGAGATCGAAGTCGTGTGTATGGAAAATAATCAAGTGAAGGACACAAAGACTGTGTAATATATCTGTAAATAGATCGAGTAATTTTAGTGTATAATTAGTGTAACAGTCGACAGGTTAACAAGTGTGAACGCAATGTTATCCAGTCTAATTTATTCGCTATGTACAAAAAGAGATGACAAACATTTGGCATGGACTTTTCCGTACCTTTCGTAGAAGGCAACAGCTATTAAATTACAGCGAAATATGAAGTGTTAACTTTTGCACAAGTGATAACCGCTGGAAAAAGCTTGGATTACAATAGTAATCCGCGCGACCATTCGCGGTTCAGTTTCTGACCTAATGTGAGATCATGAACATCGCTGCAAGCAATGCTCTGAATGTTAGTGCAAAGAACAACGGCAGAGAAAAGTTGACTAAAAAGGATCCTTAATAAACCAGAAATGAAAAGGAGGATCGAGAGAAAAACTGTGCCAACAAGAAGAGGGGCGAATGATTTTCACTGGGAATCCGAGAAGGGGCCGAGGGATTCGAGTAGTGGTGACGCGACTTTGCCCAAGTGTTCCCTGCGTGGTGAGTGGTTAACGTAATTTGTTAAGCGTACAGTACAGAGATTTTTTACTGAAAGCTTTATTTAAATTGAATTCAGATTTTTTACTTTCCCGTAAGTTGGCGCTCTGTGCGACTGGCTATAACTGTTTACACAGTGCTAGTAATGGCATGATATATGAGATATTATTCTCGTTGCTCTTAGCCTATGTATGCTTCTTGTGACGTGCTGCTGATAGTATTCGGCACGCAACAGTGTGTAAAGCAAATGTTCCGTTAGCTTTTTATCTTATTCACTTAACCAGCCTTGGAGAAGTTATCTATCCCCAGTTTATTTGCTATTATTACAAGTGCGGCATTCCTGGACTCGTAGTTCTGGTATTCTGATAAAAAATTTTCAACAAATGTTCCGATTCTCTATATAACCGATCAAACATGTCAATTTGTTCTTCCGTCATTCGAGGATTCTGCTTTGGAATTGTTTTTTAAAATTATAATAAAATGCTTACATTGATCACCGTGCAAATAAAAGGAGTATATACACGTGTTAAGAGTTGGGGAGTCGCCAGCTCTAGAGTTGAGAGGTTGCCAGTTTAAAAAAGAGGTGGGGGAGCGCGTGAGCATGCCAGCAAAACACATGTTATTGTTCAGCTGGCATCATCAGTGGCTGGCGCGAAGGGTTTGCCAGTCACTTGCAACATGGTGGGTAAATGTTGCCAGTCTCCACTTGCCAGTTCCTAGCAACGTCAACTAGCACGTTTACTGGCAAAGTGTATATCAGCCTTTGCAGCCAGTAACATATCCAACAGCTTAAGTCATATGCACTGGTTTAAAAAAATTACATAATTTATCTTTATGTTAATATGAAAAGAAAAATGCAGACAGTAACGCCATATGTGTACGTTTCTTAAAACTTTTTGAACTAAAAACTGGTTGGGTTGATCGGGTTAATCTGTCGAGTCAGTGCGTGTTCGGGCTTGCTTTGATACAGGCTTAAGTTTACGTGCCTCGAATGTAAGCAGTTGGGTCATTGGGCAGCAGAGTGTCCGCTGATGAAGACAGATGGCGTTGCGAGAAACTAAAGTCAGTCAGATGTAAGTGTGGCGTTAATGACGTATACCATGGGTGCCTCCGTCGACAACTTTATTCAAGCCGACAAGGGGTACTGCGACAGCGGCGTCAAAAATTCCGCTACCGCGAATAAACAGTATTTTACATCGTAAGAGAAGTTTGCCGTGTCATCCGGGAGCTTGAACCTCACCACAGTGACGTCAGTGGTGATGGCCAAGCTCCCAATTGGATGATACCCTAACTGCTGATTTACGTCGAGCGCATTTACAAATAAATCTAAGTAAAACTGTCTGAAGTGCCCGGGACATTTCTTCAACGTCCGTGTTTAAGAGATGAAGTTGTCGAAGACCTGAACCTGCGACCTTTCTTCTGGTTGGTTGATGTATGTCTCTTTTCTCTCAGTGCATCACTTTTCCTCGGAGAAGGTAGAGGATTAGGTGAGGCTGAGTTTTGTTTACTTTGAAAGTGGGAATTGTTAAACAGATGTTTTAGGTTTTAAGGACGTGAAGTTGTTTATGGAAGACACTGATGGTAGGAGAGTTGACTAGTAAGGTTATTTTGTTAGGGCTTCCGACGGGGGCAGTTAAGTATTTGTGAACTAGTTGTTAGTTGACAATGGTCGATGTCTGTACTACAGTCATGTTTAAATTAATGATGGAGAGTTAGATGATGTCTTGGGGATGCCTTTTTCGGGAGTGTCTTGGAGGTTAGGGTGTGTTGTAGGGTTGAATCAGGTAAGAGAATTTGGGATTGTATAAATATTCTTGGACTGTGCGGCGGAGTGTTGGGTATGGATTTTTCTGTAGTTGGTGCCAGGATTTAGATGGAAGATGAAGGTTGATTATCTTTCCTATTCTGTTAAGATGTCTGCAGGAGTTTGTGAGTATAGTCATATCCCGCTGTAGTGCGGTTTTAATAACTGCCCCTCAAAGCCCTACTTCACGGTGGCATTATGTAACTGTTCTTGGCGCCTTTCTCAGTCGAGCCGCTAGATGTCGCATGATCGCGACCGTATCCAGCACTGTTGTACGGTCGTGATCACGAGACATCTAATGCCGCTAGCCCACGCCGCCACAGAAGTGCGCGAACGTCAATCATCAGGGCTCTTCGCCGACCCTCCGGCGACGACGGACAAAGGGACCGCAGCAGGTAGCTGCTTCGGTCCCTTTGTCCGTCGTCGCCGAAGGGCCCTGATAGATTGA